CAGACCCCAGATCGCAGGGCTGGCCCCTGAGCACATGCCTGTTGCACACAGGAGGACACAGGCCTGTCCTCTCTGTCCCCAGGCTGGCTGAGACCAGAGCTTATGCCCTGCCCCTGCCTGGCCCAGCCTTCCCCCTCGTCTCCCCTCACAGGTGGGTTCCCTCAGAAGTGGTCCTGGGAGTCCCTCATGAGGTGGCAGGGCTGCCTCACCCTGTCCCTCCTCCTGTGCATCCAGGTGCCTGCTGGCCCGTCCCTGCCGCAGGGCTACTCCACCTGCCGGCCTGTGCTCTCCAAACACCGCAGCCCAGGAGAGACCAGGGCCTGGGGCAGGATGGGAGGAGGCCCTGTTAGCATTCCTGGGGCCCTCACCTGTCCCTGTCCACCCAGCCCCCATCTCTGAGAGGGCAGCTAGAGGACACTGCCCAGTGGGGGAAACTGAGGCCCAGGAGGCCACCCAGATTTCCACAGCCACAGGGCGAACTCCGCTGGTCAACAGTGAGCCCCATTCGGCCAGCTCTCTGCTGTGTATCGTTAATCTGTTGATTCGTTAGGCTCAAGGTGGACTTTGCCAGAAATCTGCAGGAGAAAACTAACGGGCCCAGACAGACGGAGCCCTGCCCTGTGGGGTGTTCAGACTAGCAGGAGCATCGAGGGACCCAAATGAGTTAAAACTGGACCTGCCAAAGGGTGGAGAGGTGTCGGCATCTGGCCCCCCAGGAGGCAGCGCTTGGCTAAGTCCTGTGCTGGGGCAGAAATAACCAGAAGCAGATGGTACAGGGATGGCGTCTGCCTGGCGGCAGCTGTCTGAGCAAAGGCCCAGGGGCAGGAGTGAGTGTGTTGGCGGAGCTGGGAGAAGGCTGCCCGGCTGGTAGAGCTGGATCAAGGTGGTGGGCTGGAGGGGCTGGAGGGCTGGGAACCCGGTGCCACGGACCCTGACGCCAGAAGCAGGGGCGCTGCACAAAGAACTGTTCCCCCCCAACAGGCCAGTGGAAGTTCATTTGTGAAAACACTTATAGAGTGCTTACTGAATACAGAGGGCAGGTTTGGGGGTAGATGGGAAGTCAGGAAGGTCGTTTCCACAAGGAGTTAGGGTTTCCCTGGAGACACAGAAGCTAACGTTTGTGACACACCCTTCAACTTCACCAGGTGCCCCACGGGCTTTACCAAGGCCTTCTGTGTTTTAGAATTCACGTTCACGCCTCGTCCAGGATTCCACGTCACCTTCAAGATCACACCTCTGAGTGGAGCCCGTTAGTCTGGGCCTGTTCCTTATCACTCGTGACCCTGGCACTTCTGAAGAGGAGACTGGTGGTTTGGTCTCACTCTGGGTCGGTTTCCACAGGGTTAGACGCCAGTTTGTGGTTTTGGCAGGAGTGTCCCAGAAGGCACGCCAGCCCCCTCCCCTCAGCCCGCACGCTCCTCTTCCAAGTCAACCTGGTGCTGGGCGTGACATGCAAAAGCACACGTGGGTCCCAAGCATGCAGCCCCGGGACCTTCACAAGGGAGCATCCTGTATTGACAGCACTTCAAAGGCCCCTCGTGTCCCCCACAC